AAGACACAAGTAACATGCATTAGAAAACACATGGGTGATGTCACAATGGAACCAAAAGAAATCAAAGGGATAATAACAGAATACTATAAAGAGTTGTACTCCCAACAAATTTGAAAACTTAGAAGTGATGGATACATTTTTTAGAAAAACATGACCTACCTAAATTTACAGAGTGAAGTGAAAACCTAAACAGACCCATAGCAAAAGAAGAAATTGATCAGGTCATTAAAAAACTCCCAACAAAAAAACTCCAGGTCCAGATGGCTTCACTGGTGAGTTCTACCAAACGTTTAGGGAAGAGCTGTCACCAATTCTATTCAAATTATTCCAGAATATAGAAGAGGATGGAAAACTTCTAATAATTTTTATGAAGCAAGTATAACCCTCATACCAATACCAGGGAAGGATGTCACTAAGAAAGAAAATTATAGACCAATATCCCTTATGAACATAGATGCAAAAATTCTCAACAAACTCCTAGAAAACAGAATCCAAAAGCACATCAAAAAAATATTACATCATGAGCAAGTGGGATTCATATCAGGAATGTAAAGATGGTTTAACATTAGAAAAGGAATCAACATAATCCACCATGTAAATAAGAAAATGAAAAGAACCACAGGATCATATTGATTGATGCAGAAAAGGCATTTGACAAAATCCAACATCCATTCCTGATAAAAACACTCAACAAAGTAGCAATCAACATAATTCCTCAACATGATTAAGAGCATTTGCAAAACTAGCAACCTACATTACTCTCAATGGAGAGAAACTGAAAGCCTTCCCTCTGTGATTAGGATCCAGACAAGGATGCCCTTTGTCACCATTCCTATTCTATATTATGCTAGAAGTCTTAGCCAGAGCTATATGTCAAGATAGGAAAATTATATGCATCCAAATTGGCAAAGATAAAGTAAAACTATTTGCAGACAATATACTCCTCCTATATATCGAAAACTCCAAAGACTCAGTAAAAAAGCTACTAGACCTCATTGGAAGATTCAGCAAAGTGGCAGGATATAAGATCAACATAAAAAATCAGTTGGATTCCTCTATAGTAACAATGACAGCACTGAAAAGGACATTAGGGAAGCAATATCATTTACAATAGCTGCCCAAAGGATGAAATATTTAGGAATAAATGTAACCAGAGAAATGACCTATGCAAAGAAAACTACAAAACACTACTACAAAAAAACAAGAGATTTACAAAATTGGAAGAATATACCATGCTCCTGGATAGGAAGACTTAACATTGTGAATATGTCAATACTGCCCAAAGCAATTTACCCATATATTGCAAACTCAATCCAGATTCTAATGACATTATTCAAAGAGATGGAAAAAACATTACAAACTTAACATGGAAAGGAAAGAGACCCAGGATAAGCAAAGCACTGCTTAAGACAAAGAATAAGGTTGGAAACCTCTCACTCCCTGATTTCAAAATTTACTACAAGGCTACAGTGGTCAAAATAGTGAAGTAATGGTGCAATGAAAGATTCACTGATCCATGGAACATAATCGAGAATCCAGAAATTAGCCCATCCACATACAGCTAACTGATTTTCAACAAAGTGCTTAATTATATTGCATGGGGAGGAGATAGTCCCAACAGATGGTGCTGGCAGATTGGAAAGCAATATGCAAAAGATTGAAACAAGACCTTTACCTCACACCTTATACAAAAACAAACTCAGTGTGGAATAAAGACCTAAATGTGAATTCCAGAATTATGAAGGCCATCAATGAAAAAATAGGGACAAAAATGAGGGTTCTAATATAGGGTATACATAGACTACCAAATATCCTGAAAATTACACAAAACAAATGTAGACAAAATAGATTATTGGGACATACTAAAAATTAAAAACTTATGTGCATCAAAAGACTTCACCAAAAAAGTAATAAGGGAGCCCACACAATGGGAAAAAACTTTTGCAACGACACATCAGACAAGGAACTAATTTCTAAAATATATAGCCAACTACAACACCTCTACAAGAAAAAAAAAACAAATAACCCAATTTAAAAAATGACACAGGACATGAACAGACACTTCAGCAAGGAAGAGATCTGGGCAGCCAACAAACATAGGAAGATATTTTCACAATCACTAGCCATTAGAGAGATGCAAATCAAAACAATGAGATATTATCTCACATCAGCAACAACAGCAAAAATAAAAAGAGTAGAGGACAATAAATGCTGACAAGGATGCAAAGAGACTGGGACGCTCCTACATTAGCTGATGAGATTGCAAAATGGTTCAACTACTCTGGAAAGCAATATGGTGCTTCCTCAGAAGGTTGGAAATAGAAATACCTATGATCCAGCAATTCCTTTACTTGGTATTTACCCACACGAGTGGATATATGCACACCAATGTTCATAGCAGCACTATTTA